CACCTTTCACCTCCTTGGCACCAGGTGCCCAGGACTTGTTCACCACCCTCACACGAGCAACCCGGAAGTGAAAGGTTTCCACGGAGGAAACCTTTGACCAACCGAGGCTAGGAAACAGGAAACTAGAAAAACGAAATTGTTTTCCCTTTCCACCCCCATGAGTTTCCCTACGATGCAACAATCCTCACGTCCTTCAAAAGACAGTGTCAGGAGAGTGTCTGTATGCCCAGTAGACCCAGGCTTGGTAGCATCCCCTTGTATTTGTTCTGCCTCCTTCCTAACCCCTTTCCCCTCACTCCTGTTTCCCCAGGACTGCATTCCTTTATCATTCCTCTACTCCTCTATTTAAGAGGGGTGGCACATGACTCTGTCTACTCTCTGAGAAACCTTGGTACACTCGTTAGCTATGCCTTCGTAACACAACTACAAAACCTCGGGGGCATGTGACCAGCAGCATTTAATTCTCACTCACAAATCTGCCAGGTGGCTGGGCAGCTTTGCCTCAAAGTGTGACCAGCGACGTGACTCTGCTCCCGGCTGTGGGTCCGACTGGGCTTGGCTCCTTGCTGCAGGCTGGGTTCAAGTCCGCTCCACGTGTTTTGTGTATTAGCCATGGAACTTGGACTGCAGGAGCAGTGAGGAAAGTTCTTACATAGACGGCATAAGTGCAAGAAGGCAGCACCGTAGCCCCTGCTTGAGTCACATCATATAACATCTCTCATAGACCAAAGCAAGCCACATGGCTGAATCCACGTAAAGAGGGGAAGAAATGCACCTAGTGAGAAACTGCCAAGTTTCACGGCAAAGAACCTGGGTATAGGGAGAGGTACAAAAAAAAAAAAAAAAAGAAAAAGAAAAAGAAAAAAATCACGCCAATGATTCAATCTACCATGTCTGGCTACGATAAGCAGTCTTGTAACAAATTTAAAAGGTTATCTCTAGGGGCGCCTGGGTGGCTCAGTCTGTTGAGCGTCCGACTTCAGCCAGGTCACGATCTCGCGGTCCGTGAGTTCGAGCCCCGCGTCAGGCTCTGGGCTGATGGCTCGGAGCCTGGAGCCTGTTTCCGATTCTGTGTCTCCCTCTCTCTCTGCCCCTCCCCCGTTCATGCTCTGTCTCTCTCTGTCCCAAAAATAAATAAAAAACGTTGAAAAAAATTAAAAAAAAAAAAAAAGGTTATCTCTAGCGTACAGATGAAGAAATAACCATCCCCAGAAACAAAGGAACGTTATCCGTTATGACTGAGCCAGGATACTAACACAAGTCAGGTCTGTCCGACTCCAAAGTCCGTTTATTCGGAAATTGCGATTGAGTGCACCGTGTGCCAGGAAGTATGGAAAGTATTGGGGATACCAAAGTTAATTTATAAGTATCATTCTGACCCCAAAGAGCTTACAGACCAGTGGAAAGACATACTGACGTGCATGTACGATATAATCAGGTAATTACTCTAATGGGAGCTTGGGAGACTGGGCACCTAAGCCAGAACTCTCAGGAAAATCAGAGCAGCACTCATTTTCCGCAATTTTCCACCACAGCAAGCTGCTCATCTCCCAGCACAGCATGTTTCCTACCTACCTCCGGAGCATTTATCCAGTTTAAGTTAAGACATTCCAGCATGGTAACATCTTACTACGTAGGAATGCCCTAGGCTTTATTTACAGGAAGATAGCAATGTGGACATTCCTTCTCCAACTGAGATCAGTTTCTTGTATAAGTAATAAAAGATAAAGTGGACCTTCCTGACACACTTTCTTATTTTCCCAGAATTTAGGCTTATGTCACTGCTTGTGCTAACAGTCATAAAAATTACTCTTTTTTAATCCAAAAGTGCAGTGCTGTCTATTCAATATAATTTCAAATTATGGAAAGACATTTTATATCTCACAACACAAAATATGCTGCAGATGTTTAGGTCAAGATACCTTCCAGGGCGCCTGGGTGGCTTAGTCAGTTGAGCGTCTGACTTCGGCTCCCGTCATGATCCCACGGTTCGTGGGTTCCAGCCCGCATCAGGCTTTGTTGGGGTGGTGTGGAGCCTGCTTAGGAATCTCTCTCTCTCTCTCTCTCTCTCTCTCTCTCTCTCTCTCTCCTCTCTCTCTGCCCCTCCACCACTCATGCATCCTCTCTCAAAATAAAGAAATAAAAATTAAGGAAAAAAAAAAACAAGAAAGATAACTTGTGAAATACTGTATTTTTATCTTTCTTCCTTCCAAGCATTGCCATCTTTGTTCAAAATACTTAGAATGAAATTATTAATAGCAATGAAATGAAAGAAGATATTGGAGGAATAGAAGGTTTTGTCCTACTGTTAGTTACCACCCAGAATCTGCGCCAGTGGTTTTCCATCTTGGCTATATATCAGAATCAGAATTTATTTTTAAAAAATACTGATGTTCAGGCCACATAGATGAAATAAATCAGAACCTCTGGATGGGGTCTGGACATCATCATTTCAGAAAAGCTTCTTAGGTGATTATAGTGACCAGCCAGGATTGAGAAATACTGTTCTTCTATACCAGTAACCTAGATTTTCTTTATTATAACTTGATTTATTTCCTTACTTAGCGTGAAGTTGCTATTTGAGATATTTGAATTACAACTAAAAATGTTGTTGTAATTCACTCATTCCACAAATATTTGCTGAGTGCCTGCTACGTCCCCCGATCTACATATAGAGCAGAGGTAAAGAGTACTAAGCAAGAGCCATAGTCCCTTCCTTTAGGGAGGTTATGGAACAAAAAGCAAACATTTAACAAGTAAACAAAGACTATTTAAAAAGTAAACCAAATATTATAAATTATAATAAGTGCCATGAAGTAAAAGCCTGTCTGGGGACAATACACATAAGCTGAGATTTGAGGGATAAATGAGAGTTTACCAGACAAGGAGCTGGAGAAAGAGTGCTCCAGACAGAGGGAACGGTATGTGCAAATGTGCCCAGGCAGAGAGTCAGGCTGGTTCAGGGAACTAAAAAAAGGACCTGTGGCTGAGACAATGTGAAGTGGGAGAGGGGGCTAAGCTGAGAGGTCTGCGTCATTAGGGACTCCAGTTGTGTTAAGAAATATGTAGTAGAGAGGCACCTTGGTGGCTCAGTCAGTTAAGCATCCAGCTTCGCCTCAGGTCATGCTCTCAGTGTCCTGAGTTCGAGCCCTGTTTCAGGCTCTGTGCTGACAGCTCAGAGCCTGGAGCCTGCTTCAGATTCTGTGTCTCCTTCTCTCTTTGGCCCACCCCACTTGTGCACCCTCTCTCTCTCTCTGTCTCTCAAAAATAAATAAAAACATTAAAAAAAGAAGAAGAAATATGTAGTAGGGGGGCCTGGGTGGCTCAGTTGGTTAAGCAATATTTCTTGATTTGGGCTCAGGTCATGATCTCCCGGTTTGTGAGCTCAAGCCCATGTCCATCTCTGTGCGGTCAGCACAGATCTTGTTTGGAATTCTCTGTCTCCCTCTCTCTCTGCTCTTCCTCTGTTTTCTCTCTCTCCCTCAAAAACATATAAATAACTTAAAAAAAAAAGGAATATTTAGTATACTCAAAGTACAATAGGAAGCTTTCAGGTATTTAGAAATGGGGAGAGGAGGTGAGGGAGAGTGACAAGATCCAATTCACCTCAGTTAAGGAGACTAAGTGCTCCTCCTTAACCTGCCAGGAGACATTGTAGAGTCAAATGCTCACAAAGTAGTGAGTCTGTAGTTAGTGGAATAATGTAACATAGTGTTTATGAAAATAAAGCACATACTTGTAAATCACACATACGTACGTGCATGCACTCACACACACACACACACACACACACACACACGCACACACACACACTACTATCACCTAAGGTTCATTCATACTAGTAGTAGATGAGTTCACATCAATACTCAGCAGTTCTGTGTCTTTCAATAACTGATTTTTAATACAGTGCTTGCTATTCTGCAAAATTGATAAATGGTGTTTGTAATCACCCTCTTTTATTGCCAAACCTAATTGCTCTCTTTGTTAATTATAGAACCTGGGTTCCTCCTGAGGAGAAACACTTCATCCATTTGCCAGGAAAGGCAGTAACATTTAAGCAAAATGTTGATTTGATGTTCATTGATGAACACTAGCCAGTTGATAAATCTTCAAAGAAAAATTTATACCTACATATAAGCACAATGGATTTCTGATATGCTAATAGGATCGGTCCTATGAAGAATCTCAGCAAGATAAATATACTCTGGGAGCAAATGGATTTTTTTTGAAATGACAGATTAATGGTTTTAATGACTTTTTCCAAGTCTTCCTTCCATAAATATGGTGCCTGAGAACAAGTCACCAGGTGTGTGTTTAAATTATCATTTTATGACTTAGATGAATCTTCTATTTGTTCATTAAAAAAATAATAATAAGTGTGATCCTTTATAATACCTTCCCGGGAATGTCATAACAAATTCTACAAACTTGTTGGCTTACAGCAAAAGCAATGTGTTCTCTCACAGTTCTGGAGGCCAAAGTCCAAAATTGCTGTGATAGCACGCTTTAGAGGAAAATCCTTCCCGGCCCTTCCAGCTTCTGTTGGCTCCTGACATTCCTTGGCTTGTAGCAGCATAAATCCAGTCTTTGTCTGTCTTTACATGACCTTCGTCTCTGAGTCTGTGTGTCAAGTCTCCATCTTATAAAGACACATGATTGGATTTGGAGCCCATCCAAAATCCAAACTGACCTCATCTCAAGATCCTTAATTATATCTGCAAAGATCCTGTTTTCAAATAAGGTCCCATTCATAGGTACCGGGGATAGGACTTGGATATATGTTTCTGGAGGACACAGTTGAACCCACTACACTCTTGTAAGCTCTGTAGTTAATATTATGATTGGTGACAAATGAAAAAACTCTCAAAATAATAACAGCTTAAACAAGAAAAATTTATTTTTCTCCCAAGGTAAAGCTCAAGTAGGAGGAAATGTCAATATAGCTCATATATAGCCCATGTTGTTAAGAACTCAAACAGTTTCTATCTTGTTTATAATAGGATGGCCTCTCTTCTTAATTTGCCTTATGGACCAAGATAACTGCTCTATCTCCAACCATCGCTTCTGCATCCCAGACACCTAGAAGGTAAAAAAGATAAAGGGAAGAATACAACCTTTTATTTTAACAAAATTTCCTGCAAATTTTTCATATCACTAGTATTTACATCTTGTTGGCCAGAATTTAGTCATATGGCAAACCTAGCTGCAAGGAAAGCTAGGAGTTCTTGTTTATTCTGGGCAGGCATTTGCTCCATTAAAATTTAAAGATTCTATTACTGAAGAAGAAGAAATGGAAAATAGTATTGAAAAACACCTAAACATCTCTGTCCCAATAGTCAAATAACCTCCCAAGATTGTTTTTTTAAGAACTAAACATCCTGAATTGCTATGTTCTATAAAAAATTGGTGCCTCTATAGGATCTGAATTTACTCTAACCTCTGAAATGATCACGCTTTTACAATAGTTCCCCTTTATTTTTTATTTTTTTCCTTAGTACTACCTATTTGCTTGTTTGACCTCCATAGAATACTGTGATGTCTCTACCGAATGTACCAGTTAGAAAGTTATTACATTTATTGACGAGTGCAATAGTCGTTTCAATTGCCTTGATTGCTAATCCATTATTGAGGTAATATCCCCCTATATCTTATTGGGGTAACTGTCAAAACTGACACAAATGAAAGCAAATGATTCAAGTAATAGGGGACTGCATCCCAAAGAAAGAAACAAGTGAACTTGGGGAAAAATATATAGAAGAAGCAGCAGCTTCCATTTCAGTAGGAAATAAGCAGTTTGTTTCACCCCCAAATGTGGCAAAAGAACAACTGTTTAACAATAGAAACTTAAGGCCAGTATAGGTAATGGTGAGGGGGCATCTCATCTGAGCTGATGGAAGAAAGAAATGCTTCAGAATCTCCTAGAATGGTAACACTCAGAGTTAATTACAGACCACGGCATCAACTGGAAGAGTTAGCTTAACATAATACAAAGGGGGTGGGGGAGGAAAATCTGCTCTAGGAAATAGGATTTATTGGAATGAGATCAGAAACGACCCCCAATAAGCCAGCCAGAGTAGTGGGTTGCCCTAACTCCCTACTAGAGACCAAAAAGCTAAGACAAAGAAAACCAGAAATGAAAGAGCTGTGACATAGGGAGACAGATTGTCAGAAGGCTCGACCAAAGATAGATTCAGTTGTGTTGGGGGGCCTGGGTGGCTCAGTCGGTTCAGCATCTGACTCTTGGTTTCAGCTCAGGTCATAATCTCACACTTTCGTGAGTTCAAGCCCCTCACCAGGGTCTGCGTTGGCAGTGTGGAGCCTGCTTGAGAATCTCTGTCTCCCTCTCCTTCTTCCCCTACCCCACTTGCACTGACTCTGTCTCTCTCAAAATAAATAAATAAACTAAAAAAAAAAAAAAAAAAAAAAAAAAAGATTCAGAAAACTCTTGTCAGGTATTGCCAACCACAACCACAGAATAGAGTATCTTCTGGAACTTTGTCCTAAGAAGCAAGCAAGCCGAGGATATCTGCCAAGTAGTAAGTGAAGAAAACATGTCTTAATACCTTCATAGGTGGAAGTTCCAGCACAGCCTGCTGGTGACATCCATTTACTAATAGTGAGGACAAGTCCCAGCGAGAGAAAAATTGACTACTACTTTCTCAAACACGTGTACTTTTGTATTTAAAGTACCATGCTAATGTCTTCATTGATCCACATCTGATAGCTCCAGTGTTAATCCTAAAAATAAGATGGTTTCTGTAATAAAACCAACAGCTAACTCATTTCAGGTCTCCAATTTTTCTGTTCCTAGTCATACAACTTGTATACACTCATCAATGAAAACAGTTTTTATTACTCCCTTGAGTTTAACTAGAGAGACAATCCTCTTATTCTGAATCATTATTAAAATGAGCAAATCCATATTTCCCATTTATAAACCTATGGAGAAAAATCCTCTGAATTCAGGCACTAGTAGAAGAATTCACGTGTTTCCAAAATGCTAGAGAGTGAAAGGTTTTTTTTCAAAGTCGCAATTTGGAAGGCAGATTTCATAGTCCCCAAGACATTAAAAAAGAAAAATTAGCTTAAGTAACATTCCTACCATTACCAAAAGTGGCAGAAATGGCTGTGTGATTAAAGAGAACTTTTGTCTATTGTTGGATCAGACATCCATCATCAGACCAGCTATAGGTCAGGCGATTTTTTTCTTTCCCAAATGTCCTTTTTCCCCCCACATCTATAATAAGGGGAGGAAGATCCCTTACAAACACCAGAGTTCACATAAAAATCATATAAGGAAACAGGTGTGAGGGCACTTTGTGCGGCACAACGTAATATATAGATGCAAGATGTTCATATTTCAACAAAAATGAACACTTCCCTCTAGGAGTACTTTGCTCACTTTGACTCACCACAGGACCAGAGTAATTGCCAGAGTGTTGAGAGGATTTTGTTTTATGTTCATTGTTATATAGTTCGTGTTCCCATTTCATCTTTTAGGTCTTTATCTTGATTCTTTGATTTGTTTGCTGAATTTTCATTTGCTTGCTCAGGAATAAAAACCTTCTCTTTGTGATCCCTCCACGGCACAGTTTTCTCATTCCACAGCATGGAATTGTTGGTGTGTCTTTAAAGGCTCCTTTCACGGGAGGGCATGGCTTAAATAAGGAGAGACTTCAGTTGTTCTTCCCTTGCTGATTAACTTAGCAAGTCTTAGAAAGACAAGACAAGTTAATTCTGTGGATGAATAGCGGGAAGAGAAGAGCATGGATCTTCAGCCTTGCATTGTGCCTTCAAACGCTGGGAAGGATTTGAGGCACCTACTGAGACACGGGGTGTTTTCCCTCAAACAAGACCCCATCCACCCTGGCCTAAGATTTTCCCGGACACTAACAGTCACTGGGTTTTTTGAAGGACCTCAACTTGAGCACTGAACCAAAAAGAAGTAAGACAAAAGAGTCAGCTAATGAGTGAAATTACCAACTTTATTACCCATACCGACTGGGTTAGAGGACTTAGGTTACTGTGAGAACCCGAATGAGCTTGTTCATTCTCAGTGTTCAGCCTCATCCTGAAGGGACCACGAGGCTGACACACTTGCCCAGGTCACTGTCTCCACTTCTCCAAGTGGGAAGTGAAAAGAAAGAGATCAACTGCCCTCATGCTCAGGACTTTTAATAGAATAGCTCCCCACAATCAAGGAACTTTGAGTAATGGCTGTCCCTAGGCAAATGCTTCACCAGAAAGAGCAAGGAATTGGTCCAAAGGTTGGGAGTACACACAGATGACCACACTCACAGAAACAAGGAATGAGAGTAGGTACTTCTCTGGAATAAATACTAATAGCTAACATTTCCTGTGTGCTAGGAACTACTCTAAAAGCTTTACCCAGATTACCTGATTTAATCCTCACAACAAGCTTTTCCTCTAAGGAAAGTGCCATTGTTGTCTCCATTTTACAGATGAGGACACTGAGGCACAGAGAGGCTCAGTAAGTGAATGAGAGAAAAGGAAATCATGTCCAAGTAGAAAGCTTACCAGGAGGCAAACAACATTATATCACCTCTAGAAATTCATGGACAGTCCAGCCCAGATGGAAGAGCTTCTTTTCTTCTCTGTTCAGGGTTTCTACTCCCAATACAACTGAGACTGTAAGAAAATATCTACACATAGTGGTACTCAGGAACTGGGCTGGCCTTGATGGACATGACAGGAAGGACAGGAAGAATGTTCTTCTCTCTTCAAAATGTCTCCCCCTTAGGCTGGCGTGGAACCTGCACGAAATCCCCACTGATTTCTCTGCTGGGGTTAATGCATCCAAAATCAGTTGTGAAAAAGAAGTCTGATTAAAACAGGTATAACCATGATGTATAAACTCCTGGCAATATATTCATGTGAAGGCGGGGGTTAGCTCCAGGGAAAGAGCCCTGAGGAAATGAGGCAGGTTGAATAAGGGTGAGAAGAAGGAAAGAGAGTTCTCAGGCTGGGGAGCTCATAGGGCTCACAGGTGTCCAGGAAGCAGTGCGAGGGCACCAAGGCTGAAGGAATGTCAACACAAAACAGAGAATGGTCCGCCCCTCTCTCACACCTTCACTTGATTTGACTTGATGTTCCCAAGCCTTTTGAGGGGGGAGTTTTCTTATAAAATCCCTGTCACTTTCCAGAAGGCCGTTATTGCCTATCTATATCAGAACAAGGACACTCATCTGTCCCTGAAGCTCTTCAACTATCCACTGCCACCAGCAGATACCCACTCCCCTGCAAGTCTGTGAAGTCAGGAATGATATGACATCATTTCTATATAACATCAGTTCTATAATATCAGTTCTTCCCCCTGCTGTATTAATTTCCTGTGGCTGTTATAACAATTTATCACAAACTGGGTTGCTTAAACAGAAATGTATTCTCTCATAGTTTTAGAAGCCAGAAGTCAGAAACCAAGGTGCTGGCAGGGCCGCACTCCCTCCCGAGGCTCTAGGGGAGAATCCTTCCTTGCCTTCTCCGGCTTCTGATAGCTGTCTGCATTCCTTGGCTTCCTTCGCTTCTGGTCACATCGCTCCAATCTCTGTCTCCATGTTCACATTGCCCTCACATCAAATTCTCCTCTAGGTCTTCTCCTCTTCACTCAGTCTCAGATTTTTTTTTTCTGCCTTTCTGATAAAACCACCTTATTAGATTTAAGGCCTGCCCAGATAATCCAGGATGATTTCATCATCTCAAGATTTTTAATTTAAGGGGAGCGCCTGGGTGGCTCAGTCGGTTAAGCGTCCGACTTCGGCTCAGGTCATGATTTCACGGTTCGTGGGTTCAAGCGCCACATCAGCTCTGTGCTGACAGCTCGGAGCCTGGAGCCTGCTTCGGATTCTGCGTCTCCCTCTCCCCCTGCCTCTCCCCCTGCCCCTCCCCTGCCCGTGTTCCGTTTCTTTCTCTCTCAAAAATAAACATTAAAAAAAAAATTTTTTTTTAACTTTTAACTTAACTACATCTGCAAAGACCCTTTTCCCAAATAAATTACCTTCACAGGTTCCAGGGATTAGGATGTAGCCATATATTTTAGGGTACTACCATTCAACCTACCATCAGAAGAACAAGTAAACAAAATGGGAACATAAATGGAGGAGTACGCTATTTTAGAACCTCACTCCACCCCAGCCATCAAGGAAAATACTAAAATGAGAGGTTGTATAGCGATGCCTCATAGAGCATACCAGAAAAGAACAATGGGTACCTGTCCCAGCAATTTTGACAGCCGGGTGTGTGATCTTAGATGATTCATTTATGCTTTCAGAGCCTCAGTTTTCTAATCCGTAAAAGAGGGGTTGTGTGGGATGTTCTTTGAGGACTCTTCCAATCTCACCATGCTCTATACAAAGTCAATCCTACCCAAAAGGGAAAAAAAAAAAAAAAGGAAAGAAGGAAGAAACTTGGCAAAACTAATCTGAAGAAGCAAAGCAGACTTGTTTGCCACCAGGCATACCCGTTTTTCTTCTGTGCTGTAGGGAGACTCCGTGCCAGAAAAGCAAGCGCACGGGTTTCTGGAGACTTGGTTCCATCTGAAATTTGTGCCAACTCTATGAGATCTTGAAAAAGTCATTTAAGGGGCGCCTGGGTGGCTCAGTCGGTTGAGCGGCCGACTTCGGCTCAGGTCATGATCTCGTGGTCCGTGAGTTCGGGCCCCGCGTCGGGCTCTGTGCTGACAGCTCAGAGCCTGGAGCCTGTTTCAGATTCTGTGTCTCCCTCTCTCTGGCCCTCCCCCCGTTCATGCTATGTCTCTCTCTGTCTCAAAAGTAAACATTAAAAAATTAAAAAAAAAAAAGAAAAAGAAAAAGTCATTTAACCTTCCAGAACCTGTCTGGCTTTTGTGGAAAATAGGAAAACTGAAAGAATGCCATGGGGAAATAGTGTAGACCCACGTGGAGAAGGTATGGAAGGCGTTTAGCGGCAGCTGCCTGGTACACGTCGTTTCTTTCTGTTTGCCCTGCCCAGGGGAGAGTAAATAGATCTGATCTTAACCAAAGTTGCAAAGTGTTTGAACTTCACTTTTCACCTGCTTCCCTGCACTTTTCTTTTCCCTCTTACGTAACCTTTCCAGGCAAGGAATTTGTCATTTATAGATGTTTATTGATAAAACTGAAATGATTCATAACCAAAATGCCACCTGTGGCAGCCTTCCAATTATTTTGTATCTAACTGCGGCATGCAGGCCACAAGATATTTGGATGTGAGCAACCAGGTGACAGAAGACCAGGGAGCAGGAGCAGAGAAGCTGCTACTAAAGTCCTCTGACATGAAACTCGGCCCCTCTGCTGACTCAAAAAAGGACTCTCTTCAGGTATTTTAGAATTTGCATGCTAGGACTGAATGCAAGTGCATGTAGACTCCCCTCTTTCTTACAAAGTCAGGCTGAAAACTAGAAACTCATTCTAATCTGCTGTGGTTTAAATAAAATAATGAGAGTACATATGCTTAAGAATAAGAAGTCTATTCCATTGTCATGTTCACCTTCCCCAAATTTACTTATCGTGACTACTTCTTCTTCACCCAAGATATCAAGATGTATGATGAATGTTTTCTGAGATAAATTTGTGTTGTGTTAATATTCTATGAGGTTTTTTTTTTTTTAATGTTTATTTGTTTTTGAGAGAGAGAGAAAATGACAGGGTTGGGGCAGAGAGACAGGGAGACACGGAACTCAAAGCGGGCCCCAGGCTCCATGCTGTCAGACAAAGCCTGACACAGGGCTCGAACTCACGAACTGTGAGATCATGACCTGAGCTGCAGTCGGACGCTCAACCGACTGAGCCACCCAGGCGCCCCTGTTTGAAGAGGTTTTATTGTCCAAACCTTCCCCACAGCTCTGATTCAAGAGTACAACAAATCAGATTTCTTGTTTCTTTTCATATAAATACATTTCAAAAGAAAGTGGCAAACGATACTGAATGTAATCCAGACCAGCTAATGTTCATGTGGAACATTATATTCAGAGGGAGATCATTTTTTTTTCATAAAATCTAAATTTGTTGTATTTCCAATACAGTTTCAATACAGTGGCATAATTAGCCAGACCTTTTGACATAGAGTATTAAGATGAATGAAAAGGGATTAGTTTTTACCTTCCCAGGGCCAAAACAATCTAGTAATTGGAATTAGCACATGAGACGTCATCTAAGAATATTCCAACACGTCATTTTATGCTACTAAGACCATGTCACTTATTTTTTTTAATTGGTCTGAGACAAAGAGGTTTTCATTAACTCTTACCAACAGTATTCCGAAGAAGAGTCAGCTTCAAATAAAGCCATATACTTTTTTAATTATGTGTAACTGTGTCAAGGTGTTCTTGGGGAAAAAAAATATAAAGCTTCCTCATAACCCTTACTAAGAATCTTACCATGGGGACTTTGCTCTTACTTAAATTAAGAGTCAATCCTTTATTAAATATATCCTAACTGGCTATCACTATTATAAGAAAATCACCTCTATGAATGAGGAGATTAGGGGTAGGGGAGGCAGGGAGAGTCTGAACTGAATTGTTTGTTCTGTTACAATTCAGCAACACTTCAGAGATTGTTTTGCAAAAATATAAGGTGTTACTTTAAAATTTTAAGCATTATCCTATATCAAATGTAGTGTGCAGTTAAACTTTGTGCTAGAGCTTACGGATTTTGTGAGCTCAGTAAGGAATGAGACATCTTTGATAAATAAATTAGAAGTATTCAAAGAATTTATATTTCAGTTCTCTATGAGTCAGAGAGTTTTCCCAGTTTGGTTATTACTTATCTCATTTTTTATTTGTTTTTGTAGTTAAAACTATAAGCAGATAGGACTTACAAGAAATGTTGATACATAGCATATGTATATATGTGCATAAATATTTATCCATACATTTATACAGGGTGACCTATCTAAAATCATAATGCTTTACATGGACCTCCTACTAGGAATGTTTATATATTAGTTTCTCTATATGTGAAAAACAGAATATAGACAGAGAGAATATGCTCATAATTATGTGACTGTTTTAAACTCTTTCTTAATTAAAAATGGTGAAAAATCAAATGAAACAAAGCACCAGCATAAAGTTGAGGCATTTTACTTCTAAGTGGATAGCCCTGATTTAGCTTATGACAACTTATTTGTTATAAGCTTTGTCTTATTAAGTATAAACTCAAATATAAAGAATAAAAATCTGGCAAGAATAAAAACCTTAACAAAAGCCATTGTTGATAATAATAATGGGGGCACCTGGGTGGCTCAGTCGGTTAAGCGTCCGACTTGGTTAAGTGTCAGACTTCAGCTCAAGTCATGATCTCGCAGTTGGTGAGTTCGAGCCCTGTGTCTGGCTCTGTGCTGACAACTCAGAGCCTGGAGCCTGCTTCTGATTCTGTGTCTCCTGCTCTCTCTGCCCCTCCCCCACCCACGCTCTGTCTCTTTCTTTCCTTCTCAAAAATAAATAAACATTTCACAAAAATAAAAAAGGAAAAGAAAAAAAGAATGAAAACCACCATCAATGACTTCCAAAACAGTGAGATATTTTTTCAGCTCAACAGTAATGTTTATCAACTAACACCTAATAGTAAAATAAATAAATAAATAAATAAATAAATAAATGCGGCTATTATATCACAGACCTGTTGAATATCAGTTGTTTTGAAGGTCTAATTTATGTCAATTTCATAGTTTTCAGATATCTGCTTATAATGTGAGGTAGGAAATCAGACATAATAAATCAATTAAAATCAATGAATTTTATCCAGATCAGTAATTCATCCTATTTTAGAGATAACTGAATTTTTTTCATTTCACAAAGAAATGTTCATTTTTGTTGTTTTCCCTCTATTCCTCAGCCCCACATATGTCTTTGTCCTTCACTATCTATAGGTCCTAGCCAGGTAGGCAGAAGCCAATGATCCAGTAACAAGTAGAATACAGAAATAAGTTCATAGGGGGCAGTAAATACTCTTAGACATGGTAATAAGGAGATAATTTGAGGGCCTCACTGCTTCTACCACAGCATCATGGCTCAAGTTCCTCTGCCCTGGCAGACTCCTCATTCCTCATGGGCTATACTATATGGCTCCCAAATTTGGAACTTCTGGGATGTATCCTCTTTTGAGGAACTCTCACAAATACCCTTACCTATGGGAGACTCTGGTCTGCTGGTTTGGTGGTAAAGCAAAGTGACAACAGCCTTGTACCTGATCTAAACTCTCACCCCTGCCTTCCTTCAAATCCTGGGCGCCCTTTGAGGTCAGGATAAGCTCACTGATTGGCTTGTAGCTTTTCAATGAAATAATCCTTGGAGGGACCTGGAAATAATGTACTTTCCCAGTGTTTACAAACCTCCAAAAGATATGTTTAAAGGAAAAAATATAAGATAGCAACATTTAAGCCAAATCACAGCATTTCTTACAATACAAATGATTATAATAAAATGACTGGGGAGGTGAGACGTTAACTTAACCTGTAGTTAGAAGTAAATTTTCAATTTAAAAATGCAATACTGTTTAAATTCAATGTGGGAAACAAAAGACTCAAAAAACACTCTCCTGGGGCACCCGGGTGGCTCAGTCAGCTGAGCGTCCGACTTCAGCTCAGGTCATGATCTGCTGGCTCACGGGTTCAAGCCCCACATCAGGCTCTGTGCTGACAGCTAGGAGCCTGCTTTGGGTTCTGTGTCTCCCCCTCTCTCTGCTCCTCTCCCACTCACACTCGGTCTGTCTCTCTCTCTCTCTCTCTCTCTCTCTCAAAAATAAATAAGCGTTAAAAAAAATTCTTTAAAAAAAAAAAAACAGTCTCCTAAAATTAATCTGCAAACCATCCTACTCTCTAGTATGCTCTCATCTTTCCCCAACCAGGCACATCAGTATAACCATCTCTCTCGTCTTTGCTTTTTCTCTGATCATTTCTATATACTTAAAAGATTTAGTCAGTCTTTTTTTTTTAACTCAGCTTCTGCCCATTAAAGATTTAGAAATATTGTTTCCATCATCCAGAAGTCAGCTTAACAAATGACCACAAAGTGAACCTACTAAATTAACTGAATCATCTGGTTGAACCACAATCCTAGACCCTGACTCTGCTTTTTGTTCTCATTTTAATTCATTCATTCTCTTTCCTTTCTTGATTTTTTTTTTCTCTCTCTGTTCAACACACTCCCATGTACTTGGAGAAGGTGGAGAATGAGGAAAGCATCTATGATCTGTGTGCCCTTTCTAACACATAAGAAGAAAATAAGTAAATCTTTCAAGATGAAAAACATTTCTTTCATTTTTATTGACTTTTGTAGATCCTACTTGATTTTTGCAAATCAGAAACCAGTAGAATGACATTAATGCTTTGGGGAAACAGGGAGGAGTTGTCAACGGTGGCAAAAAAGAATAAAGAGCTATAAGAATACAGTTTTAACTCCTACAACTCACAGTACCTCTCCTGTGGGAAAGGAAGAGAATACAGAATATTCTCCATAAATGCATCCTTGAGAGAAAAGACTAGATACTTCCGGGGAGAATACAGAGGGCAAATATAAAAAATTTAAAAAAAATTTTAAAAAGTAAGAATCCTATTGCTTTTGATTCATAAATTGCCTGCAGGAAAAGGGACCTTTTCACATCTTCAGGTGGAAAAAAAAAGTTGCCATATGTGAATTTGTGTATATTTACACTCAGATAAGGACAATGATGGAAAACCATACTTGTTCCAGGATTACTCCAGCAGGACATTTAAACATCTTTCAGTGAGTCAGTGATTTTAGTTTCTTGGAAGTTGGGCTTTGGGAAACACACTAAATACACCTGTCTGAACAAAAAGGTACTTATTATAACTTCAAGAGTGACATAAACAAATGATCCAACATCCTCCCAAGAGACAGTGTAAATATCAAAAGCGCTAATAAGTGGAGGCTGTCCCCTCATGACAGAAGGTGTGGTATGTGTACAATTTCAAGATAAGAATGAAATCATGGCACTTAAACAGTAACAGCACTGTTAGCTACATGTAATATTTGAAAAATATGACAACCATCTCAATCTGCTCAAGTAGCTCTCATAGTAAGGGTGAAATTTTCTCAACATTGGTTAACTTATGGTGTATTAGAAAACTAGCCAGGAGATAAATTGATGGATTAAAAGATAAACTACTCACAGGCAGACAAACAGAAGGACAGATAGAGTTACAATCAAATGTGGACTTTACTCAGACGGAAAGATAATAACTTGCCCCAAGAAGTGATGGGTCTGCTAGGAAAGCCTTGAACACAGAATTTTCTGACTTAGTTTTTAATTTAGTTCTCACAGTGTCATGCCGCATAACAGAGAAAAACTCTAAAAGACCCTAGGACACTGTTTTCTATCTGTTAAATGAGGCTAACGGTATTTTCATACAGTTTTTTGAGGGCAAAAGACATATGAAATATTTAAAAGACTCTGGAAGAGATGCCCTCTATTTTTTTTTTAATGTTTATTTTTCTTTTTGAGAGTGAGCGCGAGCTGGGGAAGGGCAGAGAGAGAGAGGGACAGAGGATCTGATGCAGGCTCTGTGCTGACAGCAGAGAGCCTGATGAGGGACTTGAACTCATGAATGGTGAGATCATGACCTAAGCCAAAGTCAGACCCTTGACCGACTGAGACACCCAGTCGCCCCAGAAATCCCTTCTATTAATTGGAGCTATTTGACATGACATCATTTTATTCAGTAATGGGAGTTCAGTCAATAGACAAGATATACAGAATGAATTATGAAGGGTCCCCAGGGGGCTCTTTGTTGAAAAGGGTAACTGACTATCTTTCTAGATTTCAACATAAGGTGAGAGAGGGGGTCACCCTCTAGATCCTTTCCAATTCTTATTGTATATTGATCCTAATTTCTCTTTAACTTTTTTTTTAATTTTTTTTTTTTTTTTTTTTTTTTTTTTTTTTTTTTTTTTTGAGAGACAGAGCATGAGCAGGGGAGGGGCAGAGAGAGAGGGAGACCCTGAATCGGAAGCAGGCTCCAGGCTCTGTGCTGACAGCACAAAGCCTGACGCGGGTCTCGAACCCATGAACCGTGAGATCTGGACTTGAGCCAAAGTCTGACGCTTAACCAACTGAGCCAACCAGGCACCCCTGGATCCTAATTTGTCCTGCACATTTAGAGAAGTGCTAACTATGAGAGCCATGGGATAGAGATGGAAAATAAGACAGTGTGTGCCCTCAAACTTTACTTTCAAAAACACCATAGAATTCTCAAGAGATTCTGTGACAGCACAGATTGAGAGCCCCTTTAAAATAGGGGGGCCTGGGTGGCTCAGTCAGTTAGGCATCCAATTCTTGATCTCAGCTCAGGTCATGATCTCCAGGTTTGTGAATTCCAGCCCTGAATCGGGCTCTGGGCCTACAGTGCGGAGCTTGCTTGGGATTCTCTCTCTCTCCCTCTCTCTCTCTCCGCCCCTCCCCTGCTCTCTGTCTTTTTCTTTCTCTCTCAATAAAAAAACAAACATTAAGAAAAAGTTTAAAATAGGGGCGCCTGGGTGGCTTAGTTGGTTAAGCGTCCAACTTCAGCTCAGGTCATGATCTCGTGGTTTGTGAGTTCAAGCCCCGTGTCAGGTTCTGTGCTGACAGCTCAGAGCCTGGAGCCTGCTTCAGATTCTGTGTCTCCCTCTCTCACTGCCCCTCCCCTGCTCACATTCTGTCTGTCTGTCTGTCTGTCTGCCATTCTCTCTCTCTCAAGAATAAATAAACACTAAAAAAAATTTTTAGGGGCACCTGGGTGGCTCAGTCGGTTGAGCCTCCGACTTCGGCTCAGGTCATGATCTCATGGTCTGTGAGTTCAAGCCCCGCATCAGGCTCTGTGCCGACAGCTCAGAGCCTGGAGCCTGATTCCGATTCTGTGTCTCCCTCTCTCTCTGACCCTGCCCCATTCATGCTCTGTCCCTCTGTCTCAAAAATAAATAAACATTAAAAAAAAATTTTTTTTTAATTTTTTTAAAGAAAGTTTAAAATACACTCAACTACCATTTTTCATTATATGAACCACTCCTCATGCTACCTTACTCACATCACACAAAGAAATAAGAATTTTTGCCAGAAAACAGGAAACTGTATTGATTCTCCCATTTCTTCTTCTCCTGTGCTTCACAAAATTGGGAAGCTACACATCAACTTACATTTATCTGTCCCTTCTGGAAAAGGTCAAAATGAGCCAATTTTAAATCATTTTTGGCAATGAGACAAACTTGAATTGGGAACAACCTTTTGGATCAGTAAGTAACTGGTCTGCTGTGATGAAAGGGACCTTGTAGAAGGTTTCCTGGCATTCTTCCCTGGCTCACATTCTACCATCAACAACTAGTATACGGTCTAGCATTGCTACCAACAGACTGTGCCCTTGGGATCATTATCTTTCCCCTTTGTCTCCTGACACCCATCCACCCAGAGTTTCTTCTTCAGCACGAGAAGTCATCTTCCTTAAAATTTCAAATGACTTTACTATAATAACAAAGGCATGAGGGTGCAAACTAGACAAGTAGGTAATGATAGGTAAAATTTCATTTCTCCTTTGAGTTCAGCGTGGTTTAGCACAATAACCAGATTCCTAACAGGTTTTCTACATTTTGCTCCTCACTCCATTTGCATGCTTTTACAATGTGGATGTCCTTGTCACTCAGTCCTTACTCGCATTTCTCTTTGGTTTCCAGATAAAACTACTCAAACCTCAATTTCAACATCTTATTCTCCCTGGGAGTATCTAGGAAAGAGTTCTTGTAAACTAGATTTCCGAGCTCTTATACTGGGCTTAGGTCAACCTGACAATCTGAGCATTAATTTTCCTACTGTTCAGAATGATCCCTGAATTCTCTTTTCTAGAATGACCCGCCCAGGACAAATAGTAGAGCTTGGTTTTTCTGTTCTCTTTAATTCAATCATTTCCCTTTCCTTCTCTCTAGCAGGTAAAACATTTCTGACTTTCTCCATCCCCCATGTAATATATTTGCTTTTCTTATCTCTGCATTTTCCTCTCGTTTTTTTTCAAATGTTCCACATGGACATTCTATATTTCTTTCTCCAGAGGATTCTAACCCTGTAGTTATGGTCACCACCAGTTCAGTGTACTAGTTAATATTTGGAGGTAGACACATCTAGATTCAAATTCCGACTCTGCTACTTACCACCTATGTGATCTAAAGTAATTTCCCACTCATTCTGCACACCAGTGGTTAGAAGCTAGATGACCTCGGGCCCACGACATAATCACTCCAAACCTCACTGCCCCCGCATTTGTAAAATGACAATTGCCTACCTCATAAGGTTGTTGTAAGGAATGAATGTGATGATCAATACAAAACTGCTTGGCATAATTGCTAAATAAACTAAGCAGCCCACAAATATTAGTTATTATCGTTATTACTAATGTAGACCCATACTGTCTACGCTTTGTGGTCACTTTGTTCTCAATACAAATGCTATTATTTCTTCAGCCCAGACTTCAGCATACCTCATTAGCCAGAGGCTTTCTCTCATGGTCCATACAAAGTTTAGAGTAGAAAGCTGGGGGAGCTGGAAGGACTGCCAGACTTTTTACACAGCCAGAGCCATTGAAACACATCTGAATTTGAGTTGTGATGAGTCCTCACTCGTCCCAGCTCCTCTGTACGTCACAGCTTATGAACACAGCAGCTTTCACCTCCGGACACCAAAACCTAAACACTGAGATTATGATAAGTAGGAGAGCTACAACTAAAAAACACCATGGAACCAGAGACCTTCTATAAAACCACATGGTGAAGACTACAAGGGGACAATCCACGTAGTGCTTCAGGATCCCACTGTGTGTGTTTGGGATGGGGGGAGGGGGGCGTCAGTGCTCCAATTAAAGAGAAATGCAGGATGGGAGATCTGAGCCCTGCATCAGTCACTTCACTGAATTCTGGCTTGTTTCAGCTGCAACTTCCAAGGTCCCCATCCTCCTCCATTGCTCTAAAATCCATTCCTCCAGAAATGAGAGCCCATCAGAGAGAATATCTTCTGTGAGAGAGGTGGTCCAGTTGCTGCAAACTCTTGCTAGAAATTCCAAGGAAGTTTACCAGGTATATCTATAGGGTGGTGTTGAATAAAGCATTTCAAGTACCGATTATTCTACAGGAAAGAGCTTAGCTTTTAGAGTTTGTTGTTTGTGGCAGTGGTGATGATGAAACCCAACCCACTTCCCTGAAAAGTAAAGGGAATACATAGAGTACTACAAATTATTTGTTGTAACAATCGAAATGGAAGTTCTGAAGTGAAAACTGGGAGGTCTATATATTAAACTAAAAATTTTTATTTGAAAACCAAGATTATGCCGGCAGAAAGGCCATTTTAAAATCAGCACAGTAACTGGACTTTTCCTATAATGAATGTAGACTCAAACAATGATGTCTGTTAAGTGAAGTCTGTTAAAGACTTGCAAACCCTCGCAGATTATCTAAAACAAAAATAATACTATACTCCTGAACTTACAAGAGCAGTCAACCCAAAGGCTTTACCCAGTTCAGGGTGTCTCTCAATGGCTTTACTTTCTGAAATTGCTATCAGAAATTAAAAGAAATTCCGTGTAGCTACTTTTCATGGAAGTTCAGATTAGTCAAACTACATAAAATATATAAAGCCGTTTGTGTCTCAATTCCTATTATAAATGAAGTAAAACCATTGTAGACTTTGGGGGTCTTTTTCTCACTGATGATCCCAAGGTATTTATTATCCTCCCCAACACCAATAACCATGTTGACATACCCTTTCCTGTCCAATTCTGCATGTACTAAAACCATACGGTTATAAATAAAACTCCGAGTCATCACTTGCACTTGAATGAAATAATCCTGAAACGATTCTGCGTTTTACTGTGGCCTTACCTGTTTTGGTCCCTGTGGGCCTCCCACTTGAAATGATTCAGTGCAGAAGATGGCCAGAGCGGACTGAGGAATCCTGAAATTGGGGGTTCTGATTCCTGATGCAATCTCTATCCCAATCTACTGCATTAGTTCCTTCCTCTTTATTCCCAGTTTGGTAAAGAATGTAGGTGGAGATGCTGTGGGCACATTTGCACACATGTTCCAACTGATTTGGAAAAGGAATGGGCGAGAGAGGGGTATCCGAGTTAAAATCAGGCAGGCATTTCAGATTTCAAGAGACAACTGAAAAGGGAACATCTGTTAGACCCCTGAGTTGGAGGGCAGTCTGTGTTAGTTCTTCCTAACTCTGAGTGTGTGCACGTTGTGGAGCGGGTGGAGTCTTCCATCCTCAAATCTGAAAAGATTGAGAGATTTCGGAAGGCCCAGATGTGCCAAAGGTCAGAAGGATCAATACACAGACCCTACCACGGAAAGGTGGTGGGGAGAGAGGCGGATGGAAAACCGCTGCAAAAGGGAAGCCAATGAAAGGTAAGGAAGTTTCTGAATAATTAAAAAGTTAAGAAGAAGCAAACTCAGTTGCCAAGGGGGAAGGAGGTGGGGGTGGGGGGTAAAAAAAAAAAAAAAAAAAAAGCAGTTGATGTGGTAATTAAGAATTTGGTGAGAGCCTGGGCAGGTCACCTCCTTTCTCAGATCAGAGCCCCATCAGAAATTCTTTCAAGTGTCCTTCTGCGTCGCCAAAGATGACAACAGCAAATCAATAAGTGCTTGAAATGAAAGGGGTTGTTGGCGAGCCCCCAGGCTACAGATTTCCCGCCGCCAGCCTTTTCTGAACTCCTAGCGTGCCTTTGCACCGCCTCTCTTAAGAAGAGCTACCTTTTATTCTTATTCTCAGGACGAAGGTAAGTGCTCAGTTAGCATATCTATTAAATGTCGGCTGTATTTCCAGCTCTCCGAGCGCGCTGAGAGCGCGCTGCCGCAGCTGGCCAGCCGGTCCGCTAGGCAGGAGGAGAGGGGAAGACTGGCCAGGCGGCCAGCGGGTCCACACACCTCCGGGGCTGGCCCAGCTTCTCCCAGGATTTAGCACTGCTGGGTTAGAGCTCAACAGTCTCTGCCAGAGCAAAGGGCCTGAGTGACTGCGGCCACCAGAGCGCTCCTTCTAACTCATTTATTTACAAGCAAGCACAAAATCATTACCCACAGGAAAGAACCAATGCTCCAAAATTAACGCTTGCAATCACCGGAAACTCTGTTCTGAGTTCCAGACACTGGTCTGTTACCCTTCCAATATTCATCCCTTCCCTAATATGTCTCGGTTTAACAATCTTTCCAGAGCCCAGCATCCCCGGGACATTTTAATTAGGTAATTCATTAGTGAGTCAATACAGACATTTATATATTCTTTTAGCTCGAGTGGTTAAGTACTAATTTCGAAATGATTATAAAACACAGGAATAGGCAACGCATAGTAATTTTAATTTATATGCAAATCAATTGGTTCATCTTAATTCCTTAAAAAAAAAAAACCCAAAAAACAATTATTGTATTGTAGCATCGGGGGTATGGATCAAAGCGCCCGAATGGACAATTCCGAAACCGGACCTGGACTGGGGAGGGAAATTCTAAAACCGCCAACAAATCAATAACGTTTGAGGCAGTTAAACATCTCCAGCCATTGGTATTTACATACTCGCTTGTTGTCAGATAAGGAGCTGGGGAAATTGCTTGCCTGGGTTGAGATCATAATCCAAAGTGAAGAAAGTAAATGATAGCACGCACCCCGTCAGGGCGGGGTGTAAAATAATACTGTACCTTTCCCAAATCCTGACTCTTGGGTGAGAGTGAGTTGGCGGAGGTCATCCTAAATTTGTCCTCGGTTTTGCCCGCTTTGCTCACAAAATTGTCTGTCCTCCCTATGCTTTGATTTTTGTTCTAACAGTTGTCACCCGTCTGAAAATACTAGAGGGAGGGGTATAATTCAGAATCTCACTAAAAATTCTATGAATCCATTTAGCCAACACCGCTCTTCTTATGCTGATTTGGGGGTGGGGGGGAGGGGACGCATATGTTTAATTCCCTGTGTCCTCCCACCATTAAATTAGATGACCAAAAAAGACAGAAAAAACGGCTGTGAGAAATTATCTAGTGCATTGGCTTACTGGAAGGTTATTACCTTTAGATATAGTTTAAATTTTTTGGAAAAGTAAAAAGGGGGTATTGTTCCAGAGGACAACAAAAAATTGAGATATTCTAGAACAGTGACTCTCACTGGGGATCACCGGGAGATCCACCGGAGTTGTTTACGTAAAAGTGTAACATCCTTGAAATTCACAGATACATAAGGTCAGTGTCTCCCCACCCCCGGCTCCCGGCCCAGGCGATCTGGCCCTTAAGGAGCTGGTACCTTTGATGCTACAATCTTGTTTACATCTGCCGGGCAGGGAATTGCTTGCTTTGCTCGGACGCTCCCTCCACCCCCTTCTAATTTGAAGTAATCGGAATCTAAATACAATCGCCACGGCCCACTCTTTCATTTCTGCTCTGACGAGGGAAAAACCTGAAATCCGTGTCTTAAATCAGCTCGGTGGTTTGTAGCCCCCCAGCACCCTGCCTCTCCGCTGCATGCCTAATGTATTCCCTAGTGGTTCTGAGCATTAATTAGTTGTTTAATAGGAGTATGACTAAAAATGTAAAAGAAGGATTAGGAGCGTGAAACGTATGTCCAGCTCCTTCCGCACACTCGAGGAGGGAATGAGAATCATTCTGTATCTTCTATTTCTCCAGGAGCCATTAGCATTTCCCACCAGCTGCTCACTTCAGCTGCACTGGCGCTGGGCGAGGCGAAGACCCAAAAGCTCAGCGCGATGTCTGAGGCGGCCGGGACTGGGGTTAACCAGCCCCTGGCGGACGAGACTCCAGACAGAAGGAGGGGGGTGGGGAGGGGAACGTGAGCTTCCCGGAGCCCCTTCGTCCCAGCCCGGGTTTGCAAACCTCCGAATCTTGAAAGGGGGTGGGGGGTTGCACGCGCTTATCTGCGCGTCTCTCCAGCGCTGCCCCTTTCTCTTTTCCTCGTCTCTCTGCAAGTCTCTGAATCTTCCCGTCTCTGATTTTCTCACTCTTTTCCCACTTTTCCATGAGATTCCTCATCTTCGCCACCAGATGAAGGGAGGTCGTTCTGCTAGAAGCGTCTCCTAATCTCTATAAAATGAAAAGGAAAAATGGGGAGGACATTAACCCATTACTCAGGGGAGTGGGGAGACAGCAGAAATCGTTGATGGATACAGATGAAAATGTCTTTCTCAGACCACCTTCTCTGGTTTGCAGTGACTTTAGATTTCGGTTGTGGAACTTGTTGAAAGAATTTGATTTTCTTGATTCAGCCAGAGTTCAAAAACCAGAAATAAAAATTCTCAGGAACAGAGGGGAAATAAAGATAAAAACAGCATGTGAGCCGTTCCTCCTCTTTTCTCTCCCTTTAAGTAAAACGGTCTTGACTCTCCAACAGGTAGAGAGAGAAAGTTTGAGTTTTCATGGATGTTATGGGGAGGTTAGAGATGGCTTTAAAATGTAGATCTCTCAGTCAGTTTTCTTCGTGGCTGAAGAGGCTAGCCCTTTCCATAAAATGAGTCCATCTGTCGACTGTTAGCTATTTCAAAGTGAAGGGATTTAGCACTCAAAACAAATTGAGCAAGTTTGTTTGCCTGTTTTTACTGCTAACTCAAATGAATTCAAAACACGGAGTAATTCAAGAAAACACATAACACGTTCTAGACAGCCCCCAAATGCAGGGAAAGTCCAGCACCTATAGGGTGACCTGGGTTATTTTAAACGCCAAGCTTTTTAAAGATGTATGTATTTCACACATGCTCTTCCAACAAGTCATTTATTTCCCTAGAACTGAGAGAATTGGTATCCTGATTGAGGAAGAGCAATACAACTTTTGGAAGGAACTTTATTCTCTATTGAGGACAAAAGGGGAGGGCTTTTTCATGGCGCGCCTGGGCGAATTTTGTTCCTATGCAGAAATTAATATTGATGGGAAAACCAAACCGGAACCTATGACTGCTTTCCGACGCTTTCCAAAAACATACATTAACAGGACGCCCTTGAAATTGAAAACAAACTTTGTCTAGTATGCCTGGCAGAAGCCTTCACACCTGGTCTTCCAGACGAATCATATTTATAGTCCTTACACCCAAAGGCAGGACGAAGCAAAAACACCCTGCTAGCTACCAAAATACACGCCTTGCTCCAGTCAAGAAATCGGAAAATCAGGGCTTAGAAGTAAGACACACTTTCCGAATGAAAATGACTCCTCTAACTTCACGTCTTCTTCGATTTTTAAGAGCAAATGTGAATTTGAGAGTAGCTTCCCCTCCCACCCCCACCACCAAGCCTTGCAATTTAATACCATGCTCGCCAGGAACCTTAACCTCGTCATTTTAAAAAATGAGATATCCGTGACCCGGGGTGAACTTGTTGAGTGTAGGTACAGCAGAGGAAATTCTAGACTCTATGAACGCCCGAACCTCGTCCAGAGCAATCCTTTCGTGTACTCTGGTCAGTGCGCGACCGTGCCCACCTGCGCGCGGACAGCGGGTGCAGCGTGCTTGGTCCACCCGCCTTGACCTCGGGCGTGGTGTCCCGGCCGGCGGTGCTGGGCCAAGTCTCTGGGCCTTCCCCGGCTGACTAGTCTCGGTTGTCGCCTTCCCAGCCCTCTTCCCCACCATCCCTCCTCCCCGCTGGCCCCACTTTTCCAGATTACTCCTCAGTCATCCTCTCTCACCCCCACTCCGCCTACTTTCTCTCCAGCCTCCAGTGCGTCCCTCACATCACCACCACCCCCACTCCGCAATCTCTCGTTTCTGTGAACTCGTCTCTCAACCCTGCAGGCCTGAAAGAAGGTCACAGACAGGCACTCTCGTACTCACACCCTACATGCCTCGCCCCAAACAAAACCCATGCACACAGTCCTTTGTTCCATTTCTTGGGCCACTTTCCCTGGCCTTTCCTCCTTCTCCGTCCTGGTTTGCTCCCCAGGAGTACGTTTCTGTCTCCCGGACCCTCCGGTCTCCTCCCCACCCCCACCCCCACCCCACCTCTGATTTATTAGAGCTCCCGGTTCGGCGCAGATTCCTTGTTCTGCTCCATCCCACCCTCCCCTCCTATCCTCCCATCCACAGGGTCCCCTAAACCCTCTTTTCGCTCTCCGGGCTCTTCCTCGGGCTCCCGAGTCTCCGGCCTGCCGGCCTCACCTCCCTGCCCTGCCTCGCTTCTCGTCGCCCCTGCTCGCTCCCCCCGCGCTCGCCCGAACGCTGTGCTCGCTCCTTGAACGCCCGCCGCGCAACCGGGCTCGGCCGCCCGCCCGCCCGCCACTGTGCTGTGGAGTTTGGTGGAATCTCTGCTGACGTCACGTCACTCCCCACACGGAGACCGAGCTGAGGGAAGAGAGAGGGATGAGAGCGAGGGAGGGGAGAGAGAGTGCGAGACCGAGCGAGAAAGCTGGAGAGGAGCAGAAAGAAACTGCCAGTGACGGCTAGGTTCCGGCGGCCGCCGCGCACCCGTGGACTCCCTCGGAACTTGGCACCCTCGGGAGCCCCGCAGTCCTCTCGGGCTTGGCTTTCCGGCGCTTGCGGTGCAGCCTGCGCCTCGGATCGCTGGAAGTCTCCCCGGGAAGCGGTGGGACGCGGAGACAGCAGCTCTCTCCCGGTAGCCGGTAAGTGGAGGCCGTCTCTTTCCGCAGGGATGTGAGATAATGCGAGTTTGGAAATTTGTTCCACTTTGGAGAATCTTCACCGTAGGTGATTTGTGGTTCTTGGGGCTGCCTTCCCCCCCACCCCGAAGTAACTCAGTTGGCAAACAGACCTCGCAAAGCCCTGTTCCTCTCGTCCCCAGTCGCAGACACTCACAATCTATGGGGTTGCTGAAGTCGAGTGGGAAGCGAGACCATGGCTGGCATTTAAAACGAGGTATCTTCCCTTAAATCTCGGTGCCAACACTGCAGGGACAAATCCTCAGGCTGAGGATTAGCATTCTCAAGATAAAGGGCAGGGTACAAAGTTTCAGCTACTGGAAGATTAGCCCCTTTCCCATTGTTACCAATTGGAAAAAAGATTCCATCTTAACTGGCAGTTAGTGACCTCTCAGGCCCAAGCGAATTACCTGGGAACCAGGCCTGGATGCCAAGCTTACACAATTACTTCGGATTATAAATCCTTTAAATTGATCACCAGTCAACTCCAATCTTGCACTTCAGGAGATACATTTTAAATGGGTAGAGAGGAGAGGACTATTTTCCAACTGTCGAGTAAGAAAAAAATTATGATTCTAAATCTGAGAAATATGGTTCTCTTTTCATTCCAATTCAATGACTTTACTTTCTTAAGTAATTCAGAAATCAAGCCACCATAGGGCAGTGTGATTTTTTACTCCTTTTTGTGTGTGTATTATGTCTTAGTAAACTAAATGAAAAAAAAAAACTTTTACTACTATGAATTAAAATAACACAGGCATTCATATATTCTAAAATATTTTTATGAAAACTAATCTGACTTACAGAGATTTCCTTGCAGTTCTTAGGCCATTAATAAGAATTAAAGGTGGTTCTAATATAAGTTTGGAAGAAATTTATCTAAAATTCAAATACCAATTATGTCAAGGAAACAAAGCACCGGCACAGAATAGATGAGGATTTTTACTAGTGTAACATAAAATAAGCATACAAGGTTTTAATAATCAAACAGTCCCTAAAATTTGAATAGCTACTTCATTTATGGAATGTTTTACTTTACCTCAGCAAAACTACACTTAAATTATTCAGGTGCTTTGTTCCTCAAGTTGAGCATATTGTCTTCAAGTGTTCCTAAAGCATCAATATTAATTGGTTTAAAAGAAGGCTTAAACTGGTAAAATACAGAATTGTGTTAAGCAGTATTTTAATTTCCTTAAACGATTACCCACTGCAAATTAATTTAGTGGCTAATCTCCTTAATTTAGTTCATTTAAAACATATGTTCTTGTGCTGTTTATTTTTAAACTTTCCACTGAAGATTTTGTTACGGGGTAACAAAAAATGGAAAGGGGGGAATGTAAAAGAGTTTGGAATTATTAGAACTGTATTTTTTTCCTGCGATTTCCTCTTATGGCAATCATCAGAAATTACTTTTAAGAAAATTGTTTTATTTCTCAGGCTTTTACTGCCTGCTTTGGCCAGTGTGGTTCAGTATGCTTCATTAACTATGTGGTGCTTTTTAGCATACTCACAATAGAAAACTCAAATTAGGCAAAACAGCATTGCCTGGCATATACGTTCAAACCAGGACTTGAACTTTTGGGATGAGAACAACTTCCCATCAAGAAAAGTTGCGCATCTTAATTTGTGAGATTAGTGGTGGAGGCTGGCCCCTAAATCCTGAAGCCAAATTTGCCTTGTAAGACTTGTCTTGCTTGACAGGGCAAGTTTAAGGATCAGCAGGCAGGAATTGGAGGTTATTTTTAAAAACTATCTCCCTCAGTTATTTAGATTCAGTTCGTCCAGTAGGCCTGGTAATTATATGAAGAAAAAAAAATGCAGGTCTCACGGCTCATTTTGACTGCAAAATAAATCCCCAAGTCACAAGGACACTTAGGAGTGAGCTAAGGAACACGCCTTGACCTTCTTTTCAATCCTTAGAGCAGAGTTCTTGATTTGTTTTGTATTGCTTTGTTTGGCTTTCAGCACTGGAGCTGGGGGGGGGGGGGGGAATGTGTAAAAATTGGCTGACTTTATATTGAGCGACCCCATCTTTTTCTTTTGTATATTTCATTTCTTTAAAAAATGAAAACTATTTGCAGTTACCATCTGCAATGCTTCGGCTACCCGCTAATAATGCAGCCAGTTCAGATGTTTAAAAAAAAAAAAAAAAGATTATCGAATTGATGGTGACATGCAAATTTCCCCCGAAATTATCATAAGTAAACATTTGAAGTCTGGACTAATAAAATCCCATCTGTGTTACTTCATATCGAGTTAGTAGAAAGCTGTGATAATGAATTTTGTAATATCTCACGAACAGACATCTCAATCAGGGACTAATCCTGTGATTTTACTGCAGAATCACTAAATCTGGAGCCGCCAAACTGCTACTTCTGGGTCCCCGGGCCTGCAAGGATCGGCAGAGCCCCCGCCCACGTCCCAGCTAGCGGGTGGGGGGGGAAACCCCTGGACACCCACGCCGCGGCGCCGGGCAGCCCCTCCTCTAATCGGCGACCTTGGCCAGAGGCTCCCGGGGCTCGGCTTGTTCCAGCAGAGGCCAAGGAGCGGGGAAACAAGACCCAGACTAGAGCCAGACCCGCAGCTCCCTGCCCCGCCTCTGCTCTTGCGCCAAAGGGGCAACGCCCGCTCCTCCCCTCTACCCTGGACCACAGCGAAGTGGGCCCTCCCGCCGCCGGCATACCCTGGTTAGCGTGGAGAGAGGCAGGCACCGAGATCCAAAGGGCCTGGGGAACCCGAGACCTTCTTTCTTTCCTTCTGTCTTTAAAGCTGCCGCGGCTCTTCTACCCACCCGGACAGAGCCTCTCGCCACCCACCTCTCCCGGTTTGCCTGTGGCGGAAAAAGGGGGCGCGCGTTAAACGCTTGGCTCGCTGCGTTGTGGTTGGAATTTTGAAAAAGATTTGGTTTGCCGGGGTTGAATCGGGGCAGCCGTTCTCTGAGAGTTATTTCTACGTCCTCGCTGGGTAGAAAACCCTCCGGACTTTTGCCCCGTTCTCTTCTGTCTCACTCAGTCCACTTCGTTTCCCTCCTCTGCGATCTTAAATCTTAGTTTAGGGTAAATAAATGGCCGGGTGAGTATCTCCAGGGAAAAGTGTGGCTAAATATGGAAAAGTGGCTCCTGATGGATGAGAGGCCCGAAGCCAGCTCGCTCCTGGAGTACCCTAGGCCAAGAGCTTTAAGAGTCCCGTTCATTTCAGAATTACACAAAATCGAGGAAAACCGCTGTCTAGGGCAGGTACAAGTTGAGTCTGATAGTCTACAAATGTTTACTTAGCGTCTACTGACCGAAAGTCCTGTGCTGAATGGTGGTCTTCCACACAACCTCTTACACAGAAAAGTCCTCTCCACTCACCCCCAAGTTCTGTACCTGCTAAGGTTGCCCCCGTGTTCAGACGGGCTCTTAACTCCTGACATAAACACCTTGAGAGTGGTTCCACAGCCTAAGTCCCCCCAGGACATGATGGATTTATCCGTCGAGAGCCCCTGCGCCCGTTCACCGCAACTCTGGAGGGAGATCCCCCCTCTTGGTAAACATTCAGTTGTTCTGGACCAGGGGCTAGGGTGGGGATGAGGCGGAGAAGCACGCCCGAAACCCAACCCAGAGTAGGCACTTAAGAGCGAGTTTGCAGTTGTCCGCCCTACAGGTAACGTCCACTGAACCCTGCACGCTCGGAGACCCCGCTGCTTCTCACGACCCTCCTTCTCTTTTATTTTGCAGACAACGGGGAATGGAGACCAACTGCCGCAAACTAGTGTCGGCGTGTGTGCAATTAGGTAAGAACGCGCTTCTTCTGCCGGGGTCACTCGACGGGACACCGCACCATGCGAGGGCGGCAGGAGGGCACCGGTCCCTTGACGAGGCGGCGGCGAGGGGCTCTTCCCGGAGAGACCAGCCGGGGCGGAAAGGGAATCAGAACCGGGACACCGGCAGCCTCTCCCGGGGGTAGGAACTGGGGGGTATGGATAGGGAGGGAGCCGCTCACCGCGTCCCGATGCCCGGGGCCTACTCCTCCCTCTGAAGGAGCCGCTGGCAGCCTGGGAGGCGCGGAAAGAGTGTGCCGCCCTGCTCCGGGTTGCCAGAGGGTCCGGGAGACGCGAGCGACCTCCGCCCTTTCCTCTAACTGGGTCTTTGCTCTTTGTCCCTCTTTCTCTTCTTCGTCCTGCCTCCTACCCCCACCCCCAACACCCTCGCTTCTTTCCACCGCGGTCCGGGGCGTCTCTCTACCCGCTTGTGGGGCGGGCGCGCGCTGCCCAGGCGTGCAGCCGGCGGCCGTTGAATGCCTCTTCTCCAAAGACTCCGAAATCAAAAAGGTCGAGTTCACAGACTCTCCCGAGAGCCGGAAAGAGGCGGCCAGCAGCAAGCTCTTCCCGCGGCAGCATCCCGGCGCCACTGGTAAGGCCGGGAGCGAAGCGCAGGCCGCGCGCAGGTCACCCGCCTCTGGGCCTCTGGGCTTCGGGTACAGCGCACCAAGGCTAGGCCGCCAGACAGGCGCGCCTGTCCCTTGACTTAGACACTTGGCCCCTGTGTGGGACGGGAAGCAGCCGTCCCAGGGACGTTAATTCCTTTCCCCAAAAGTATACTGCACTCCTGAGACCCAACACCTCTCTCTCTGGCTCTTTTTCGCTCTCTCCCTGTGGCCTCATCCCCTACGCACACCCCAACCTACCTTTGCGCCGCTAGCTGGCGTGGAAAAGTAGTCCAACAGCGACCTCTGTCGCCCGCCATGTCCCACTGCGTGTAGCACCACCAAGGGTGCTCTCCGCCCCGGCCTCTCTCAGCCTTGCCCCGCCCAGGCTTGTGGGCGCGGGGTTTGCCGCGGAAGGCATGCACCGGAGGCTTGCGTAGGGCGAAGATTCGCCTGGCCGGGAGTTGGAGGAGCTGACTAGAGCCCCGCAGAGCCTGAGGGCAGCGACTGTGCGCCGCAGCCAAGGGTGTAATGAAGTGTGCGCCCCGTCGACGCGAACCTACCTGTTGTGCAGGTTGCAAGGCCTCGGGTTTTGGTGGTGTCGTTGCTTGATTAGCTGGTTTCACTGTGGACGAGTCAAGGGGCCCTGCTGCTCAAAGGCTTGTGTAAAAGCCAGAATGTCTCCAACTCACTGCATAGGCCTTTGCTAAACGGAAACTTGCCCTTTAGAGGTTTGTGTGTGTGTGTGTGTGTGTGTGTGTGTGTGTGTGTGTGTGTATGCGCGCGCGCGCGTGTGTGCAAGCTTTCCCTTGGAATACATGAAAAATTCAAATTTAACAACTGTCCTATTCTCCGGGTTTCCCAGGCTACTGTAATAACAAGTGCCTAGCCTTAGGAAGTTGTTGACCTTTGATAGTGTGAGGAGATAAAGCCCCCCCACAGCCCTCGGCCCCTAACCCCCTCTTTCCGGATTAAAGTGTAAGGATACAAATGTAATGTGTGCCGGAGGGGGGCGAATTGGGACGCCCCGCCAAATAAACAAACCGTGTTGCTAAGAAGAAAACAAAGACCCTGCATTCGTGCTTCCCGGTAAACCTGAGAAAATTATCATTTGCATAAGTAAAACTTCTAAAATGGTCGGGAGCGAAGCAGCCTGGCACTGCACACTATCGCGAGTCCTCCCGCTGGGCTAGTTAAACGCTCACTTGTCCGGGATTAACCCCATGGGGTTAAATGGGGCCGTGCAGAGATAACGTCGGGTGATTTCTGTCATTAAGATTGTGTTAAATTCTTCCTCTGTTTGATAATCGGTCGTAAAAATAAATTATTAGACCGGAGTATGTTTGGGATATGGTTAAAAATCAAGAACAGCGATGACTCCTGGAGAAATGTTTCGTTCGGTTCCGTCTGGCCAGTCTAGGGGAGCTCCCCAATCTCGCTTCGCGCGGGGCGGGCTGACAGTCGCCCAACTGAAGCTGACGTTTCCCGATGCGTTGGGAGCTGGAGAGCTGCCTAACGTCTCTTATCCCCACCCCAACCCAGGGCTCCTAGACCTCAGGAATGGTTTCTGAGGACAGGTGGTCTCCATGGGAGCCCCTCCGAGGGGAAGCTAGAGATGGGATGGGAACCTCTTAACGTGGGCAAGAAGCCGTGGTCAGCCTGGGAGTCCTTTCTGTTCCTGTCACAGTCGCCACTGGGCATCCACTTTTGATAATTAGTAGATAAATAAAGAACTAGAAATGATGAAGGACTGTTTCCTTACCCATGAACTTTCAGGCCCGGATTATTCTAGTGCGCTGATCCTCCACATTGACAACAATCTGTTTTCTACCTTTTGGACAGAAGAGGAAATTGCTGCCTAAACATGTTTAATACCATCAATTAAGGAGAGGCATGCGATAGGGAGAAATGCTGAAAATCTTGATTTTATTGGCTTTTAGGGATGTAATAGACAAAAAACAAAATGTCACACATGAGTAAGCAAAACTGCAGTGCCTCCAAGCAAGGTTGCCAGAGTCCCCTTTACTAAATATAAGTAAATTTAATTTATGTCATATGCAAACCCCTGGCCACAGCCTGCTTTGAAAAGAAAGATTTTTCTCCCTTTTTTGATAGCTTTTTTTTTCTTTCAGAAAGAAAGGAATGTTTACAATGGCATGTCTTTCTCCAAAAGGGGCCATGGTACTTTATTATTGGCACTACCCTCTCCTCAACCCCTCCAAAACACCATGTCTTCGTTAAAGACTGAAAACAGTCCCCAAGTAGACAAGGTTAACCTCTGGAAGGCTGGGACTCTTGCGTTCCTTTCCAAGCGAATCTTTGTTCCCTTGATACCCATTGGGCTGGCCCACAGCCTGGCTCAAACCCTGAAGCAGGTGGAGTAGGAGGTCGGCTGGAGACCCCTAAATCCAGGGGTTGAGAGAGGGTAGAAAAAGGACTGGCTAGGCATCCAAGTGGAGGCGGGAAGAGTTGGCAAGTTTAGCTGTAACCCAGAAAGAAGGCTCAGAGGTCTGCTGAGAATGTCCCCCTAGAACAGAGATCCTTGACTTCCTTGCTTTGAGTGTCCCCCCCCAAAAAAGCCTGCTTGCTGAATTCAGAAAGTGCTCTTGACCTTCAGGAAGGCGGGTGGGGGGAACTGATCCTCCCTTGTCTGTAACCCTTAAAGTTTCGGGGTGGTGGCTCTGGATTCCGGGCTGAAATCGGACAGAGCTGCCGCCCCGCGGTCGGGGTGCCTAGCTTCGGTGACCAGACTTGGGCGGGTACCTTCCCCAGAGACGCCATTAATTTTTAAGTAGCCTTGGCTAAATGGGTGAGCTGAAAGAGTCTCACCAAGGTCTCTGGTGTGTGCCAACGTCCTTCCCTTGGGGGGGGACCCCAAGACCCCTTGTGGCGCCCCCCGCCGAGACACACTCTCTCAGTGGCAGCTTGGCCCCAGTCTTCTTCAGAGAACCCGGGGTAACTCCCCACCGCCTTGGCGGCAGCAAACCCTTCATTCATTCAATCAGCAAATGTTTGCCGAGCACATACTACGCGGATTCCTAATGTACCCCCTGAAAGCAAATAAGCCGGTTTCCCTTCGCCGTTATGAAGCAGGTTTAATGTTAGCAAGGAACTAGCTAGAGCAGGTTCAGACCATCTCCTGCAAAACGCGATGTGGTGGTACCTGCGGCAGTGCTTGGGGCCTGAGCGTTGTTAGAAAGAAAGGGGATGCTTAGAAGGGAAGAGGGCCATTGGTGAGGCCCGGGGTAAGGGACAGGGGCTTGCAGAAGGGGCAGGAGGTCCGAGGGAGAAGCCACGAGAGAGGGGAACAGGGTTAAGGAGAGGGATTTCCATTTTCTTTTCTACCACCCCTGCCTCCCCACCCCATCCTACTCCACCCGCCACCGAGTCTAGCTTATTGTCAGCAGCTGCCTCTTGCCTTTTGTGGGTTTTTTTCCCCGTCAGGGGAAATTGTACCAGTTGTGCAATAGGTAGTCACTCCCTGTGGATCCCCGCCCGCAGAGGTAGTCTTTTTACAGGTCGTGTTCCTTGCTACTGACACCAAGTGCGCTCAAAGTTTCATAAGGCTGGTTGGGTTGTTATTCCAAACCGCCTGCTGTTAATATATGCAGCAGTTGTTAGAGCGACTCGGAGGGAAAAGGAAATGTATAACGAAAGCTTATTCGTGAGCAGGAATATACTAATGGAACAATCTGATGTCTTCTTAATCCTATGTAAAAAGCTTTGTCGTCTTCCTAATATTGACTGAATGGGTAATTAATGGCTCTTCATCTAGGCGAATACCCTGTAATCCAAAGATAGGCAAAAGACAACAAGCCCAAGGTAGAAGACAAAAGGCCCAACTGTGGCCGCCACCCCCTCCCCCACCAGGGACTCCAAATAGGAAAGTTTCTTTTCTGGAGAAAAGGGCAGAAGTGGGAGAATACAGGTACCTTTCCTAGGCTGGGCTTAACCACTGAATCTGGTCACCCAGCTCAGTTCTCCACTACTCCATTTGCCCCCACCAGTCCTCTCTGCATTTCTTCTCAGTTCCTCTAGGAAGTCACCCTCATTTGGATCCTGACCAGAACCTTTTCTTCCCCAAAGCCCCCATCTTTCATTTGGGGAAGTGATTGATAACAGAGGACCAATACACAAGGTCCTCAAAAGGCTCAGGCAGAGGATTGAACTCCTTCTGATCCAGGTGGAGACTCCTTTCTTTTACAACCTAAGGCAGAATCTGTGCAGACTTAGATAGTTGAGAGGGGTGGGAAGAAATTAATGGAAGGAGAATGAACAGCAGAATTGGGTATATGTGTTAAAGAGTGATCAGGAGCGGTGGAGTCGACTTCCTTGTGAGGATCTGACATGAAGAGTACCCAAAATTCTTCCACCATGTTTTTAACAGGATGACATTTTAATTTAAACCTTTAGAAGTAATATATTACTTGGGTTACTACGATGAGGTGGGTTCCTTTTTTTTTTTTTTTTGTCAGCTGACAGCTTTTAAAATATTATTTCGCTAGGGAAATAAAAGCTTCATCTCAGATTATAGGTGGGTATTTTTGGATTTATGTGATTTATGGTCACCATGACAACTAATGCTGAATGTTAGCTACCAGCATGTCTGGGAGAGGGAAGACAGAAAGAAGGGAGAGCAAGAGAAATAGAAAAGGGAAACAGACATGAGCTAGAGAGGAGAAATAGAGAAAAGAGAAAAAGGCGAGTTTTAATCCAATTTTTAAAAGTGACTTTAGTTAGTACCTTTCCAGTTCTCTCTGAACCTGGATATTAGTGTCTATCTCATTTTCATCATCCCCCCCCCCCATTGCTAAAACATATTTATACCACTCTACTTTTACTAGTTTTCTGGGATTAAACGTTCTCGGAATAAACCTGTTGTGTTAACAAACTAACGTGAAAAGGCATTGTAGCACGTGGGTTTAATGATTTCAGCAGCATCCCCCCACCCGTCCTGACTCTGCTAATCCCCGATTTTCTCTTCACC